GAAGGGTACCCAAAAGCTGTCATGAAAACGCTCCGTATGGAAACCAAGCAGGGTAAATTTGCCGATTTTGTGGCTGCGCTAAAGGCAAAGTTTGCCGACAACACATCAGCGAAACGTATGGAATCACATGTTACTTAAGATGTCAAAGCCAGTCACTGAGTACTGCGTGCAGCTAGAAAACTTGACACGGTCCGCAAATCCTAGTGCTTCAGAAACAGACTTATCAATGGTGAGAGCAAGTGAACTCATTTCGCAACTCACCAACTGGCCCGAGTATTTCCAACTTTTTGCTGTCATGGAATCAGCAGCACCACACGAGGTATATGAGAAGCTAAAGAACCTCGCCGAAAGAAGTAAAGAAGTAAGAAAGTGGCGGCAGCTATGAGATCCGCCTCGGAAATAAAGCAAGCGGATGACCGCAGGAAGCCACGGCGACCCTTGCCATTCCCAAGAATACGGGAAAACGCTGACCAAACGGAAAGTGTCCATAACCGGCACCCAGCTAGCGGGGAACGGCCACAAAACCCACAGACGGTACCGAGTGGCACACCACTACAGACGGACCGCAGACTCTGTCGTATTTGCAAGAGGCCAGGGCACTTCCAAAGAGACTGTGATAGGGGAAGACAACGAAATGAGCAACGAAGCGCAGAGAATGCTCAACCGTCAGATAGGTCCCATATAGAACAGTCAAAACGCACCTTCACTACACTTCTGGAAAATTGGTCTTGCCATGCCACAGGGACGCGGCAACGCGAGAATGAGATGTTCGGCAGCAAAACCATGTGCAATGTGCAACTCTTAGGATTTACTAAGAAAGCGCTGGTGGATACAGGATCCCAAGTGAGCATTCTGCCATTGCAAGTGCTGTTGGACGCATCTAAGTCGGGTTTTGATCTAGACGCAGACGTAGAGGAAGTCAAAATGGATGATAAAATAAACATCTACGACGCCTCTGGTCGCAAGATGTCATTCACGGGTGCCGTGAAACTCAGTCTAGCAATGCAACAGGAACCCCCACGACGAGTAGTATTTTTCGTGAAACGAGGGAACGACAACACAATCGTACTGGGGACAAACATACTACGTGCGTCGGGACTTCAAGGGTTGCTGAAGCCACCCGTAGAGATAAGACGTAACTCTGTGAGCGTTCAAACGTTGTCTAGTGATTCCACGAAGCGGGCTACTGCCACTCAGACCACTCCCCTCCCAAAGGGTAAACAAGGGAAAGCCCTCCAAAAGCCCTATACAAACCCAGACCCAGGGTGAAAGGGAAGAAGCCGGTGGAAAAGGGAACAGCTAAGCCGCTACGATCAGTGCTACCATAGTTGCCAGGGTGTACCTCAAACCGGGTGAAACGAAGTGCGTTTCAATAAACGGTACTCCTTCCGAATCCACGCAGATTTTATGGTCTGACTGCGACCTAATACCCCACGCTGTTTGTAGATCAGGGCAAACCTTGAGCATACCAGTCACCAATACAACAGGTGAAGCCAAAGTTTTCCAAGCGGGGGAAAAGGTTGGCTGTTGGGACCAGAGCTTGATTGTCGAGAAGTCACCCATGCATTGCGCGAACATGCTGGAACGCACGAGCGCTCCACTTAGTGACCGTTGGGAAGTCCTGGTAAGATTACTTCAGCAAAACAAATCTGAAGGGAGTTGGTGTGACTTAATGGAGAAAAAGGTGCGGGATTTCCAAGATGTGTTCGCAGTGACAGATCAGGAGCTCACGCAAACGCACATGGTGGAACATGATATCCAAACCGGCTCTGCAAAGCCGATAAAGCAAAAAGCGAGACCTGTCCCACTGGCAGCACGGGCGGAATTACGTAAGATCTTGATGGATCTTCAAGACCGCGACATCATCGAACCGAGTAGTTCTCCATGGTCGTCACCCATAGTGCTTGTACGGAAAAAAGATGGCTCATTACGTCTATGTGTCGACTATAGGAAGGTGAACCAGGTGACCCAAATTGATAGTCATCCTCTTCCGACGATCGACGCTATCCTGCAAAACCTCAAGGGGAAAGGTTGGTTCTCAACCTGAATCTGTCGTCGGATATTGGCCCAACAGGGTCAACCCTACGTTGCGCAAAGAACAACGAGGGGGTCGCATTTTGCCGAACGAAAGGGGGGGGGTCGCATACAGAGGGACGGGGCTGCAAGAGGGCGACAAGGCAGTGTGCGGCAGTGCACTTTCACGCCCTAATGTTCTCCAAAAGCTCTGCACCGTGCAGCTGTCGGAAAGTCGCACAGACAAGAGCTCCATGGGAGCATTAGAGCATGCAGGGTATTATAAGTCTCACTTCATCCATTATTATCATTGATACACGGACGACGTTTTTGCTCGACAGCATTGATCAAGATCACAATAGCCAAAATTTTGGTTACAGTAGAGTGCAAAGACATGACGCTCGTTAGTACACCCGAGAAAAAAAATACACTCGCTGGCTTGCGCTTTACTTCGGTCAATGGATTATTGCAATAACGGAAGCGAGGGGGGAAAACAGCTTTCTGCTCGTATTCAAGCGAAGGCAGACTAGCCACCGTGTCGAGAGATTCGGTTTCAGAGGTAATCTCAAAATCAAAGCGTGCCGTATGATAACAACTAGATCGTACTGGGCAGGTCGCCTATTAGAAGGAAAGGGATGACGTGCAGAAAAATATTAGACTTACAATCTCAAATCACACTAAGCAAATCAACCAATTTACAATGCAACACGTATTAGCATCAGCTCGACTCGATTGGAGGTGCTTATTCAAATCAATGTCATAACTCAGAGATGAATGCAACCCTCTCTCACGCAGCTAATACGAGAAAATGGATTTGAGGGCAAACATAATCCTATAAAACCAGTGCGGCCGGGAACCCGAACCGTGACCTGCACATCATTGAGTGACCGAGAGCGAGTGCGAACCTACCTTCTCTCACACAACACAAGACACAATACTCCCGTTCCTAGCCTACGGCACAGTCATCATCACACACTCTCTCGCACACTCGACCGCTCGTAACTTCTCTGGCTCTCTCCCACTCGCCCCTTTCCCCCGCAGAGTGTTAACGTTTTCCCCAGGCTCTATCACCATGTCTTACCTCTTCCGCGACGAAAAAGCCTCACTGTCGAGGGTGCTCTCGGTCCATGTAACCGACAAAAACTTTCACGGGGAGTTCCTCACGAAAAGACTTACCTTTTCTTTCCCTGCTGAAGTGTCCTTTTAAGCAGTTATTTTAAGATCATCGTATTAATATGTGCTACAAGTGCTCGGTGCACATCAACAGAACCGCTCGAAGGCGATTTCGCTGCATCACCTCTGATATGATCTAGATAATTGAATTGCAAAACCCCTTATTTAACCATAAATATTTGAAAACACATGACAAGGTAACGCATTAAGATATTAGAAACTTTATATGCACATTCCATCATGTCAAATATAGTTACTAACGTCCAATATTAAAATGAAGAAAGAACAACGTGCTCATCGTGCAGTGTCTCACATTGATAAGCTCTCTCTCCTAACGCGCTCTTTGAGGTCTGTGCTGTCATTTTCATGTGTTAGTGGTAGAGTTATTCGCATCAAAGAGGACGTTAGATATAGATTATTTATTGTTAGAAATGCCACAGTAGGAGGTGTGCGAAGGTTGAAGAACGACTTTAAATAATATTGGAATAAGCTTGTCGCAACTGGCTTATATTTCAGTTGTTGTCGCGTTCAGAGTAAGAAAAGGGCGCAAAAAAGGCGCTGGAGTTGAAACCATGAGTATATAACAACTCCGCCTCAAACGACTTTGATCAGCCAACCAGGTAATTTAATCAACATTTTTTCTTATTTCAAGTTACAGATATTGCAACGCTACAAAACGTAAATTGGTCATCGTGACAAAAATAGACGCCATACATAGTTAAGAGACCATTCGGCCGCTATTGATTCGAAAAAATACGACCACACCAGATATCTCCAAGAACTATCTGCGTGTGTATGACGTATCTATTCTTAGCCTTAGACATTCTCGCAACCAGAAGTCTAAAGATCTTATGAAGAAAAGTTCAATCTTAGATGAACTGTTTGAATGGCGAGAACTCGCGTTTCAAGGTGCCAGAACTCTAGCTCCTCTAAGTTCGAATATTCCTCGCATGGAACTGCGACTCACGGAGCGTCATTAGGTCATGCTGTTGTCCTTACATTTCGCATTGAACATGTTATGCTTCCGCGGCAACTATTGGCATCCGATTCCGCTCTATGGTCTACTCCCTTTTTTGAATATTCTAATTGCGACCTTTGTATCATCTCGAAGTCGGTACATTATTCTAAATTCCTTGTGCGTTTCACGCTGCCATCCGACGGCTTGCAGGTCGATCGCCATCTCTTGTCGAGCACATACGACTGTGCCCCTTCGATTGACAGCGTGGCGTGTTGCGTGTAGCAGGAAGAGGATTCTCCACCACAGTCTTTCATCGCAACATAAACGTACAGTCCCTGCTACTCTGCAATTTTCCTTTGCGACGATTGGTCAGTCTCCACCGCGGCTAGGCACCTATTGCAGTATCGTATGCTGCTGTATCAACTTCTTTCCGGTTTTCACGTAGTCGCTTCTACAAGAAAGGACGGCTTGGACGTATGACGGATGTTCGAAATTTCCTTTCCTAGAGCCGAAGCGGCATCAGCGCAGTTTGGCCACAGTTAGTTGGTCGCACGCTTAGATAAATGGGCGTCACGAGGTATAAGCTTGTTGTGAATGACTCGAGTTTAACATAAAATCCTCTCAATTCACTCTAAGAAAACTTTTGATATTTCTTTATTTTCCTCTAATCCGTGCTTATTACCTGATGTCGAAAGCTAGCCCAATCCCTGAGTTGACGGAGGTGAGAGTCTCCTTTCGTAGGAAACACTACTCGAACTTTCCTTGCAGCTTGCTCCAGAGTTCTTCGTTGCTTTGGTCGCTGGTGGTCGTCTCCCTGGCTTTTTGTGTGTGCTCCTTGGCCTCCTTTTCCAGCTGGTTCAATCGAGCCGTAAGGATGTTTACCTTGGAGTCAAGCTTTTCGAGCTTGGCTTCATTTGACTTGTGCATCTTGACATTCTGTTCGTGATATGACTTCATCAGTTGTTCAAGACGGTCAAGACGCTCTGTTGTTTCTTGAGACGATGATACCGTAACTGCTGGAGCGAGTTGGTCGACCTTGCTCGCAGCAAACTGGAGGACTCTGCTGCCCTGTTGAAGAAGCTCTTTCAGCATGGAACCTGAAGCGCGACCTTTTTTCGGGGGAAGAGATGTTTCTTCCGTTGAAGACGAGGAAGATGAGGATGTGTCCCTCTTGCGCTTGGAGGTGGAAGCAGCTACGGACCCTGCTGGCGCCACTGACTTTGCCGTGGGATTTAAACGTTTTGGCTGTGTGATGCCGACTTGGTTTGAGAAGCGGGGCCTCGCGCTCGCGCCGCGGTAAGGGCGCGAATTCCTACATTCAAACTTTACTATTCGGTTTCCTGCCTTATTTATTTCTGTTAAGGAATGTTTCTGTTCTCTTTGTTAGGGAACCCTTCCGTACTGCTTTAGAGGCCGTGCTAAAGGCCTCTAAAGCAGTACGGAAGGGTTCCCGGCGCTATTGCATTATTACAACCCCAGTAGGGGGTGTCAAAAAAACTTCGTCTATTGGGGTTATCGGAGGTCCTGATCACGAATATTAGATCCATTTTTGACGTTGATACACACAGAAATACACCGTAACACTAAAAAACACACATGTCCAATAGGGGGGGGGGTCGCACTGACACCCCTTGAAATGGAGGGGGTCGCAAAAAATTTGGAATTTGCGCAACGCAGGGTTGACCCTGTTGGCAAATGAAGTTGGCGTATAGTGCAAAGGAGAAAAGCGCATTCGCAACAACTGAGGGGCTATACCAGTTCAAAGTGTTACCTTTCGGACTGGCTTCGTCGCCAGCAGCATTCCAGAGACTCATGCACTCTGGTGCTCCATTCAGTAGAAGGAGATGAGGTTTCGTGCTACCTTGATGACATCATAGTAGCTACCGCAACTGAGGAGCGCCATATGGAGATATTAGGGAAAGTGTTCGACAGATTACGCGCGGCAAATTTGAAGCTCAATCCTAAGAAGTGCATTCTCATGGAACCCAAGGTTGAGTTCTTGGGGCATGTCCTTGACAAAGACGGACTCCACGCGGATCCCAAGAAAGATCTCAGCAATTCGCGAATATCCAACGCCACAGACGCGTTCAGAACTTAAAACCTTCCTAGGAATGTGTTCCTACTACCGGAAATTCATTTTGCGATTCTCAAAAATCGCAGCTCCACTTCATGAGATGACCTCAGAAGGGAGCAAATTCGAATGGACCAAGTTGCGAAGTGATGCGTTTGAAACGCTGAAAGACGCCCTTACATCTACACCGGTATTGGCACAACCAGACATCGAAAGTGCGCGTTCGGGAGCTAGGCCGTTTTGTATCCATACGGACGCCAGCTACTCAGGGTAGGTGCAGTGTTGAGCCAAAAAGGAGACGACAACTTCCTACACCCGATATTCTTTGCGTCAAAAGGTCTGAAACAAGAGTGAACGCAACTACCACATCACGGACTTGGAAGCACTCGCTGTCGTTACAGCTCTGAGAAGGTTCCATATGTTCGTATACGGTTTACCAGTCCAAGTTTTTACGGATCACCAACCGTTAACAGCGTTGTTTACACGCTCAAATGTATCAGCGCGGGTACTTCGCTGGGCGCTGGAGTTGCAAGCGTACAATATAAAATTTGTGTACGTGAAAGGAGCAGCGAATAGGGTTGCCGACGCTTTGAGCAGAGGAGCAGTGGACGCGGCGAATCTGGAAGGAAGCAGTAGCATCCCAAATGAGCTGATCGTTGCATCCACAACGGAAGAGCCAAAGTGGACACAAGAGCTTAGAACAGACAGCATATATGGAAAGGTGATTTCAGCACTTGGAAAATGGTGCGCTCTTTAGGAAAGTGGTTCCGAAAGTATACAGGAAACAGGTGTTCCACGATGCTCATTCTGCACTACTAGCAAGTCATTTTGGAATCAAAATGGTGTTTCGAGAATTAACCAGACGGGTTTTCTGAGAAAACATGGCGGCTGTCGCATT